GGGGGGGAATAAGATCATGCCCAGTTCTAGGAACTGTTTATCTACCGCCTCCACAGCAGCAGCAGCAGCACAGAGAGGAAGGGGCTTGGAGATCCAGGGAAGTGTCAGCAGTTGTCTGGGAGTCTTTGCCGGGCCGCCCAGAAGAGGCCTGACGTGATGCTCAGTTCCTTGTACACAAAGTTAATCGCTCGGCTAGTGAGTATTTGGAAACCCCTCTTTCCAACTGTGTGTCTGTCGTCGTGGGCTGGCGCGTGTGTCTCGGGTGGGGATTTTGTCTCCACATCACAAGTAGTCTCAAGAAAAGGGCTGCAGCTCTCTGTTGCTTGTCCCCCGGCAATCCCTCTCGTAAGTGGATACAAAGAGTAGTGGCAGGAAGCCCCGGGGGTGGGCGAAGGGCCCCTGGCAGCCACTCGCACACAAGAGAGCGCTGGGCAGCTGTGGGCTAGTTGTGCTGTTTGGTGAGCCAGTTTGGTGTAGTGGTGAACTGCACAGGCTCTAATCTGGAAGAATCGGGTTTGATTCCCCACTCCTCCACTTGCACCTGGCTGGGTGACCTTGGGCAAGCCATAGTTCTGATAAGAGTTGTCCTTGAAAAAGAGTAGTTTCTGTCAAGAGCTCTCTCAGCCCCACCTTCCTCACAGGCAGTGTTCCCTCTAAGCTGAGTTAGTGTGAGCTAGCTCACTGTTTTTCAGCCTCCGGCTCACACATTTTTGTCTCCGCTCAGGAAGGGTGGCTCCAGAGCTAACTAATTCATGCAGCAGCCCAATCGCTCGCTTACAGCTTTTATGCCAGTAGCTTACAAAGTAGAATTTTTGCTCACAAGCCTCCACAGCTTAGAGGGAACATTGCTCACAGGGTGTCTGTTTGTGGGGAGGGGGAGGGAAAGGAGATTGGAAGCCGCTCTGGGACTCCCAAGTGAAGGGCAGGGTATAAATCCAATCTTCTTCCTCCTCCTCCTCTGCCACCGCCACATGCTGGTTCTTGCCTGCTTTGGGGTCCCAGTGCGCAAGCTGGCTAGGAGACAGCTTGGGGTGGAGTTGCTTGGAAGTTTGTCGTGGCCAGGTCCTCTCTGCATCCCTCAGAGGCCGCCTCCCCTTGTGTGTTCACTCCCGGTGTCTCAGTTGTCCATCTGGAAGCAACCCCTGAAGGTGTCACCCCCTGGCCCAAGGCAAGAGAACCTCAAGGGCATGAAGAGAGAGGTCCTGGAGGGCGTGCCGCACTGAAGACTCGCTCAAGTCTGAGCCTGTTTCAGGAGCACGACAGAGGAGCTCTTTCCTTGAGCTGGTTCTTAGCCACTCGTCCCCTTTCTAGGTGCCCGTCACCCTTGTCAACAAAGCAGCCCCCGGAGGTTTCTGAGCTGCGGCTCGGGGGCAGCGTGCACTGTCATCACCCCTGTGACTGTCGGAGGTGCCGGATTGCTCTTTTGTGGTAGCCAAAAATAAATCGGAGACAAATGCCTTCAAGTGTGCGCTCCTCTCCCCCTCTGGGGGCCGAGGGAATGACTGCGTTTCCAGGCTAAGGGAAGGCGGGTGGCTTTGAGGTGGCTTTTGGCAGTGAGTGGTAGACCCGAAAGGGCTGGCTGTGTATCAGGCAAAGCCCTGCTGTTCAGGGCAAGCCAGCTAAGAACCGGTTTTGGAAACCAGCGTGGCACCGTTGCTTGCGTGCGCATAAAGTGCCATTGAATTGCAGCTGACTGATGGCAGCCCGTGGGGTTTTGAAGGCAAGGGACGTTCAGAGGTGGTTTGCCACTGCAAAAGAACCCTGGAATTCCTTGGTGGAAGTCCCATCCAAATACTGACCAGGGCCGATCCTGCTTAGCTCCTGAGAATGGGCACGATCGGGCTCGCCTGGGCCAGGCAGGTCCCATCCTGTATACTGCAACCCATCTTTTTTCATGGAACACCCCCTCTGCAGTAGCCCTTTCAAAGGTTCACTGTAGCCAAACTCTGCCTTTCTCCAGAGGAAATTGGGAAAGATCTCTCCAGTTTGCTATTTGGACAGTGGAAGGGAGTGGGCGTGTCTGTGCTTGAACAGAGGTTTCCCCAGCCCCTCTCGCTCTACACACAGGATGCTCACCTATCAGGGAACAGCAGTGTTGTTAGAAGAAGGAGAGAAGAGATTGGGTTTGTACCGCGCCCTTCACTCAGAGCGGCTGACAAACTCCTTTTCCCTCCCCCTCCCCACAACAGACACCCTGTGAGGTAGGTGGGGCTGAGAGAGCTCTCCCGAGAACTGCCCTTCAGAGAACAGCTCTGGAGGCGTGGGGGAATCAAACTCGGTTCTCCCAGATTAGAGTCCGCGCGCTTAACCACTACACCAAACTGGCTCTCTGTGCTGCTGGTCTGTTTGGAGGCTTCTGTGCTGGTCTGTTTGGTCTCCGAGAATTTGGTGACTCCTCCCCTTCCAGATTCCTTCCTCAAGCCCCGACAGAGATAAAGCACATAAAGGAGCGTGATATTCCGGGTCTCGTCTGTGAGGTCGGCTGGGCACGGTGATGGCTCTTTGTCCAGGACTCTGAGTCAGTTGGAGGGACTCACCTTTTCCCTCCAGGACCAGAACCACGGGGCATCACACACACACACACACACACACCATCTCTGCTGCATTAGCTCTTTCCCCTAAGCAGAAGGAAGGAGATAATTTGGGTCAAACAGATCCCGTCAGACGGACTTCCAAAAAGGTTTCCCTTTTCCGTCACTTCTGATATATCTTGGTCCAGCCGGCAGTGTTTCAGCGCACGACCCGGGACAGACAGAAGGGCTCGGCAGTTGGCCGGCTCCTCTGCGCATGCCCCTTTGGAACAAAGGGAAGCTGTACAAAAGCACTGTCAGTTTGATGCGCCTTGTGCAGGGGAACTTTCGGCTCTCGGCCTCTTGAAGCCTACAGCGGCAGCGTGACTCTGGAAGGTTGGCTGTTGCCCAAAGTCACGGAGAAACAGGCAGGGGCCTTCCCTTAGCAGACGGGAAGCCGTCACTTCAGAGCCGCAGGGTTCTGTATTTTGTCGGTTTGGCCTCTTGGGCACACATTACGTTTTCCTATTTCCGGGCTTTTCCTACCTATTGTTTATACTTGCAAGCAGAAGAAGTTTAAAAGCAGACATTGAAAGGTGTCAAAGTAACATTGTGCCATCTACTGGGCAAAAGCTGGGGCCTGTGGTAAAGTTTGGAGCAAATACCCTCTGGAGACCTCGAAGAATCCCTTGTTAAAGAAGGAAGGAGGGAGTTTTTGTGCTCAGGTTGCGTTCAGATAAAATCCATGTAAGAGGTGCCCCTGTTGGGACATCCAAATACAGATGTGCCGGAAAGCTGAAACCTGGTTTGACACCAAGCTTTCAAGCCAAGGTTTGAAGCTGGTTTCTTAACCACAGTTTGTAGTTTTGGGGACATCTGAATTCATATGTTGGGACCGCCTGATGGCCCCTGGGTTTTGGCCACTGTGTGACACAGAATGTCACAAACTAGATGGGCCATTGGCCTGATCCAACAGGGCTTCACTTATGTTCTTATGAATGGCGCCACCTGTCCTGGCCACCAGGTGGGAGGCAAGTCCCAGCAACCACAAGGTCTGGCAGCAGGGGTCAGAGTCCAGAGTCCGAGTCCAGTGTGGCACCTTTAAGACCAACAAAGTTTTATCAAGGTATAAGCTTTTGTGTGTATGCACACTTCTTCAGATACGATGACATGGAAATCATCAGTCCATACATATAGGCAGAGGGTGGGCAGCAAACTTGTTGTTGTTGTTGTTCAGTCGCACAGTCGAGTCCGACTCTTTGCGACCCCATGGACCAGATCACGCCAGGCCTTCCTGTCTTCCGCTGTCCTCTGAAGTTGGCTCAACTTCATGTTCGTTGCATCTATGACACTGTCTGACCATCTCATCCTTTGCCGTCCCCGTCTTCTTTGACCTTCAGTCTTTCCCAGCATCAGGGTCTTCTCCAGGGAGTGCTCCCTTCTCATTGGGTGGCCAAAGTATTTGAGCTTCAGTTTCATTATCTGGCCTTCCAGGGAGCAGTCAGGGTTGATTTCTTTTAGGATTGACTGATTTGATCTTCTTGCAGTCCAAGGGACTCTCAAGAGTCTTCTCCAGCACCATAGTTCAAAAGAATCTATTCTTCGGCGCTCGGCCTTCCTTATAGTCCAACTCTCGCAGCCATACATGACTACTGGGAATACCATTGCTTTAACCATGCGGACTTTTGTTGGCAGGGTGATGTCTCTACTTTTTATCATGCTGTTTAGGTTCGCCATCGCTTTCCTCCCAAGGAGCAGGCGTCTTTTAATTTCATGGCTGCTGTCACAGTCTGCGGTGGTCTGGGATCCCAGGAACGTGAAGTCTGTCACTACTTCCACGACTTCCCCTTCTATTTGCCAAGGAGTGATGGGGCCGGATGCCCACTTTTGCGCTCTCCTCTTTTACTCTGAGCAAGAGGCTCTTGAGGTCCTCTTCACTTTCTGCCATTAGAGTGGTATCGTCTGCATATCTGAGGTTGTTGATCTTTCCCCCAGCAATCTTAATTCCCGCAGCAAACTAACATACAGTTGTGTTCCAAAGGCTGAGTCAAAAGCAATTCAAGGGTCAGGTAACAAGAACTGGTATCCGACCAGTCAGGCAGCTGATGGGGGGGGCGGGTTTCAGCAAGACTGCAGACAAGTTGTTATATAAGAAGTCTCTCTATGAGTGTGGATGTTTCCCACATAAGGCTCTTCACTGCAAGCTGACTCAGCTCCTCTACTCATGAGGAGTACCGAGGCCCAGAACTTGTGGTGCCTTGTCAGTCTCTCATCGTTCTTCCCATGCCTCAGCCCTTTGCCTTGGGAGACCGTGGCGGGTCTGGTTGTGGGCCGGTCTGTGCTGGAGCCTCCAGGCCTGAGGGCCCTGCTGGCTCAGGGTGCCTTCAGGAAGACCCCGGGGCCCTGGCCTAGAGGAAGGCTCTGCTATGGCACAGCTTGGGGGCAGCCACAGGGCTCAGTCCTGGGCCCGGGACTTTCCAGTGTTTTTATAAATGATCTGGATGAGGGTTTGGAGGGGCTACTCATAAAATCTGCAGATGACACCAAATTGGGAGGAGCAGCAAACACGCCAGCAGACAGAGAATTCAACAAGGTCTGAACACGCTGGGAAAGTGGGCGGATGTGAACAAGATGCAGTTTAACAAGGATAACTCAAAAAAAAATTTTTTTTATTTAGGATATAAA